TTTTGTTTTTCAGAAACTGTAATTTACTTCATGCGCATGAATTATGTATACCGAATAAACTATTAATTTACTTTATTAATATCATTATTTACATCATCTCTAAATTAAAACTTCCAAATAACAATCACCAACAAATAAATTCAGTCAGCTGAAATGACCATGCGCATGTACTCTGCTAAAAATACCAAGGAAATGATTTCCCTAAGACATTGACCCCATGAATTATACCAACGGTCTTATAATATATACCTATATAACATGGAATCTATACATACATTACATTGTTATAGTATCTTATATCTGTACGCTTGGAGTGGTCTCTGTACTGCTAATAATTTCTTGGTGGCATGTCAGCTGCCCTGCCTGGGTTCTGGATCTCTATTTTCTGTTGCAGTTGATTGTGGATCTATCTGGGTTCCATCTGCAGTTATAGGGGGTTGATCAGGTTGTCTTGTTACTTGTTCATTTGATTGACTGTGCCAGATTCTCCTCAATTTCAAAATTTCAACGAGAACAGAAGCTCCACACATTGTCACTCCAAAACCCACCAGTGTGGCAAGCAGTACAGCTAGAACAGCCTGTATGTGAATCTGTATGATCCGAAAGAAACAGAACCAACCATCTCAAATTACTAAGTATTCTACTAAAGTTTCAATTACTGGTTTGGTTAATTTCTACCAATTCAACTCTTACCAGCGTGTAGAAAAGATGAGCAGACAGAACCACCAGCCCAAACTGAATGGTTGCATAAACCCAAATGTATTTTTTCCTGACTGCACCAAAAATTTTTTACTCAATTCACAGAAGAAAGAATTTATTCGGGGTTAAAAACCAAAACCTACCCATTGTCGTCGAGGTCATGGATGCAACAAGACCCAATATACAGGAAAATGGAAGAGAGATGGCAACTGCACCAGATTTCATTCTTGACACCTGCTACCAAAAGTATTACCAACCATAGCAAGCTGAAAGAATGCAGCACCATGGAAATTGTTTTTAACTTTACCAGAAGCTGTTCAAGAAAACAGAAGTAAGCTAGCATGCTGACAATGACAAGTACAGGAACATCCTGCCATACCCTGAAAAAAGAAAAAAAAAAAACAAAAAGAAGCATTCTGCTTAACTTTCTGATATCTTCCCCATCTCAAAGAAGTTCAAATAAAGAATGAAATTAATTTTGAAGGTCAGCAGTTGAAATTATTTACTTGCCTGTATTGAACAATCTCACTTTGTTGGCCTCTTCCTAGCCGGTTAATGGTCTGAGCATTTGGGACTCGTAAAAGGGTAACGGGAAGATTTTTAACATCTTCGTTACATACATCACATGTTTTATTGCCTTTTATGTTAAACCATTTTATAGCACATTCTTTGTGGGCGAGTGCAAGTTCACCTTTGCAGCTACATTCCATCTTAAGGGTACCACCACCTTCGCCCAATTCGACCAAGCAGATCCTACAAACAGCTTCTTCTTCAGGAATATGTTCATCATTATTGCCATCTGAAACAAAGAACTAATATAAGGTGTAGGTTGGTTATTGCAAGTCACAAATTAATAAGCATAACTTTTTTTTTTTACTTTTTTTTTTCCAACAGAATACAAATCAAATGCGTAATGGCAAACAAAATAAACCTTGATTAAGTTGGTTGGATAAACCTAAAAGATATTTTTAGCAATTCCTAGATAATTTTCTTAAGATTACACAACATGTTGGCTCTCAAATTTGTATGTCTGACTCTCAAGTTATTTCTCTGCCTCTTCCAGTTTCCTTTCAGGTGGGGGAGCAACAAGAGCAACTAAATGCAATTATGTGTGGAACTTACCTGAGTCATCTATAGGAGAAACATTTGACGTGGTTACAGGAGTTCCCTTGGACACACGTGGGGTAGTGGGAAGTACATGGTAAACACCACCTGAAGAATCCCACTGTCTCACAATTCCATTTTTGATTAGCACAGGAACTGAGCGTGAACGATGAATAGGTAGTTGAGCCCCTTCTTTCTGTAAAGTGAGAAATCTGTAAGAATTAAGAAAAGAAGTGGATATTCACACTGTGGGGGATAATCTGCAAATGCCAAGTTGTAGTATAAATAAATAGCCACAAAAAAGTTAAGAGGAAGAAATCATATTCATTCTAATTTTTCACTAATCAATTCACATGAGATA